AAAAGGAACTACAATGGAGAATTCAGGTAGGGCTCAAGGGCTCCAGGGCTCCGAACAAATGAACTCTACAGGTTGAAGAAGTATGAGGTTGGAAGCTTGGGTTTTAGAGTGTACACAGGGTCTGGCACGGGATATCAACAAAGCCTCCTCATGCACTGCACAGAAGCACAGCAAAGGAACAGTTTTATCAAACCCTGAACTTCCTGAAGCCACACCTCATTCATTACATTGAGCTCGAAAAAAAGGCATGTCGTAGATCCCTTAACCGTTAAACCCGGCCCGCTGCATCCCCGCAACCAATGCCAACAGAAGTGAAGCCAGCACCAGCGGCATCATGGACCCCCGTTTTCCCCCCATAAGCGCGGATCTGACCACTTGTAGCATGGTCTGGGGGCACTTGCAAGCTTCAGACTTTTTCCATCGAAGTCTAAGTCATGACCAATGAACAGAAGGTGTCTCGCAGGCGCTAGGTAAAACTGGCGGGTCAGAGACTCGGGCCTTGCAGGCGGGGTGGGATGGCCCTCCGCTGTCGGGCCGCTGCGCATTGCTGCAGAGCACCGAGCCCGAGATTCACTACGTTGCATAACATTCGCTGTTGCAGAGATGACAATCCTAACGCCTGAAACCGCAAACCCTAAAACCCCAAAGCCCCAGACCCGAAGCCTCCAACACACAAAACCCGAGACTCTTGGGACCCATGAACCTTAAATCAACTTCCGAAATCCCAGCGTCAAAGGAAGCCCGACCTCCGAAGTCCCTAATCCCTTAACGGTCCTCCCGCAGCTTCTCGGCTTCCTTTGCCAGCCGCTGCCGAGCTTCTTGCTCGTCTCGGGGGCAGAGTCTTTCAGTCTTTTGTCAAATAACATAAAGTAGGTAAAATGAACTGTACGGTACTACACCTGTTCCTGTTATGCAGGAATCAGGGCGTGGTGCAGTTTAGTGTTTATAAGGCTTCTTGTGACTGTAGGGACAGAGGTAGGTTAACTGTCATAGACTGTAGACACCCCCAAGTAGGTTTTACTAGCAAACTTGGAGTCTTATCGAACGGAGCTGAAGGCTTTCTGAGGGCATAGGGCCGGCGTGCACACGATGAATACACTGTACACCTGTAAGCTTCACAGTCGCAGAAAGGAGCCCTCTGCAAAGGGCCTCTGGGTAGCGATGTAGGGTTTATACATAGGCTCGGTGCTTGAGCGCTTGAGGTAGAGCTTCCCACTTGGAAGGGCCAGGACTTCGACCCACGCTTGGTACCCAGAGCCATGAGAAGAACTGGTTGTGTTCAGGAAGGCTCGTAGCTTCAGTGGTTACAGCGGCTCCCCAAAACCGCAAATGAACCACGCCCTACAATCACTTTGGATACGGAGTTGCGAGGAGCAAGCTGCAATTGGTGCAAGCTCACCGCAGACTTCCCAGGCTGAAATCTTATACGTCTTAATACGGCTAAACAGTAAGTAAAGAACATATTTTTTCATAAAATCTTATTTTTTATAGTTAAATTATTTTATTTTAATTAGCCCAAAAAGAAATTCCCAACCCGAAGCCCGAAACGCCAAAAGCAGCCCGAAGCCCGCCGTCGGGCCCCGCACCTCCACGCAGGGCCTCAAAAACACGATCACCGGTAAGGGCTGAATCATTTAGGGTTTAGGGTTTAGGCATAGACTTATCCTATGCCTCCAGGGGCCTTATTATGGGGTCCTTAAGGGGTCTAGGGCCCCAACTATGAGGTCCTTGGAGGGATAGGCTTAGACTTGTTACGCATTGAGTAGGCGTAGTTCTTCACGATTCTTAAGCCTGTTTTTTCGCGGCTCTGCTAGCTTCATAAACATCGCGGTTTGTGTTGTGGTCGGGGCTTCGTGTTGTGGTTGGGCTTCGGGTTGGGGGTGAAGGGCTTGGGGTTCCATTGGGGCTGGCACTGCGTTCTTAGTTTGGGTTTTGGGTGTGAGGCAGTGGGGCTAATTAAGAACACTACGGTCGTTTCCGGCATGAGACAGAAGCGCAACGAACACAATCGCACAAAGGATTCAACAGCCAGCCCGACGCTTAAACCCTTGAAGCCCTAAACCCAAAATCCTGACACTTGCAAGCTCGAAACCCTCAACTCAAGAGAGCCCTGAGACAAAAGGAGTCGTAAGAATCCCACACGCAATATCCTCCACGATTTGAGGTTTCGCGTTTTCGGGTTCACAGGGCTTACAGGCTTTTACGCATTTTCGGCCTTGAAGGCTTTATGAGGTTATTAGAAAGGAGGGTTTATAAGGTTTAGGATTGCAGGATTTTGAAGCTTAGGGTCTGACAGCTCCCTGCCTGGGCAAGAGCCTCCAACGAGGGAGCCAATGCAGTGGCTGTCGCAGAGACTTTGAGGTCCTAGGTCGTTCGGATTGGATTCAGGGTTTAGAGTTTAAGGTTGCGGCCCGAAGCCCGAAACCCTAGTCCCCAAATCCCGAGACTTTGGGGTTTCAGGCCCGGAGGGTCTCTAGGGCTTCAGGATTTTTGAGGCTTTTGTGCTTTACGGGGTTGAGCGCTGTCGTTGCTCTTCCTGGGCCGGTCGAAAAGGGCTCTGAACAAGTTGAACTTCATGATGACGTTGGTATCGAAATGTAGGACTTAACATCCTAAACCCTATATAAACCCTAAGCGGAGTTATACAGTTATACATAAGTTGTCGGTGCATTGGCTCTGGAGTTTCGGGATTCTGGTCCTGGCACGCAGGGCATTTGTTGCTTAAGATCAAAGCTTTACGAGGTCATGGACTAGTAAGACTGTCCTGCACACTAAACCCTGTACCCTCGAGATTCTAGGGTTTAGGGCAGTTTCGGGGGATCGGGGTTTCAGGGTTTTCGGGTTTAGGGAGCCCCCCCAATTTGAAGCCTGAACCCTGCATCCTAAACTTCCCGAGACCCATAAACACCATCCGCAACGCATCCTTTGCATGGAGGCCGTAAACCTTATGATCAAGCCGGGCTGAACACCTCAGTGATGCACCCTTACAACTCTAAACACTTTCTTTGCATGGACACCGCAAAGAAGACACCCCTAAACTCTGAACACCCTGAACCTTACGCCCCAAGAGCCCTAACTTTAGGGCTCTTAGGCCATAAGGTATAGTAGGGTGTTTCGAGTCTGGAGTTTACCCATAGGCCCCATAGTAGTTTTTGGGGGTTCATATGTAGAATCCTACAAGGTAGTCCCAAAAAGGAACGACTATGGGGCCTTTGGGTAGGGGCTTAAACTCGAAACCATGAACCGAGCTCCGGGCCACGAGCAGGCCCAGCAAAAACACGAGCCGCATCCTCTACAGATGGCCGGCTCCAAGAAAGATTCCGCAACCTAGGGCTGGGGCCTTATAAGGGAGGGGCGGCTTAGGGGCCTTAGGGGTGTAGTAGGGTTTCAGGGTTTAGGGGCCTTAGGGGTGTAGTAGGGTTTCAGGGTTTAGGGTTTAGGGGCCTTAGGGGTGTAGTAGGGTTTCAGGGTTTAGGGGCCTTAGGGGTGTAGTAGGGTTTCAGGGTTTAGGGGTTGTGGGGCCTTAGGGGTGTAGTACGGTTTCAGGGTTTAGGGTTTAGGGGCCTTAGGGGTGTAGTAGGGTTTCAGGGTTTAGGGGTTTTGGGGGTGGAGAGTTTCAGGGCTTAGCGGTTCAAGGGCTTGCAGGGCTCGACGGTTCTGGGGCTTTCGGTCTTCGGGGTATCTAGGCTGTTGACCCGAAACCCTTTCAAACCCGTAAACATCAAGGCTTTGGATTTGGAGAGCCCTAGGCTTTAGGGCCATGCGCCCATGGCTTCAGCATGAAAGTCCACGATGTAAAGGCTTGCACTTTAAAGGAATTCCCGACAGAGGCTTGCGACTTGGGAGAAGTCTATTTTGTGACTTTCTACGTCGGTGTTTGCATATCATTGCAGCACAATTCCGAGCACTACAGTTCACTACGGCTATAGGCCCTCCGCTTTGCAGTTCTGAAGATCAGGTCAGTGCTGTACGGAACAGCAACCATCTCGGGATTGCTGGGGTTTCAGGGTGTATAGGGTTCAGGCGTATGGCCTTAGGGGCTTGAAGGCTGTCTTACTTAAGGCCTCAAGACTGAAGAAGCAGGCTGGCTCCAACTGCCACAAGGGGCCTTATGCAGGGTTTACTTTAGGGTGTAACGGGTCAAAGCCCCCAAAGCTAACGCAGGAGACCTTGCAGCAAGCACAGCGCCAACTTCTCAAGACGCTGAAATAGCAATCGAAACCCTGGACCATCAACCCAACCTGACACCCTAACCCTAAACAGTAACCACCCCAAACCTTAACCCAGAACTTTCGGCCCTAAACCAGAAAGCCGCAAGGAAAAGCCTTACCAATAGCTGCAGATCAGCCGCGGATCCGGATGCACCGGAGTGCTAGCACAGGCTTCTTTGAGCTCTCTGCTGGAAGAACGCTGCAGAGCTATGCGCCATTAACTCGTTATTGTACATGCTTCTGAAGGAGTGATTTAAAAACAATTACATGCATATCACAAGATGGTGAGGTCGACGGACATGTAGCTTTGGGAAAGGGCAAGCACGCGAACGAGCCATAAAGAGAGAGACAGAGACAGAGAGAGAGAGAGAGAGACAGCGACAGCGAGAGAGGGACAGGGAGGCAGAGAGGAGAGAGAGGGCTGGGGCATACGAGATCAAGTAATTATGCATCGACTTAGAAACAGCCACATGCCAATTTATGTGTACGTGTGTGTGTGTGTCACACCAGTGCAGAAGGCTGCACGCAAACAGACTTATCACGCGCAGCACGCAACTATGTAGACACGCATACACACATGCAAGCAGCATGCCTGCAGATACGCATAGAATGCTCTGTGTTTGGAAATGTGTAACTACATCAGTTTTCACCTCGAAGATATAAATCACTGTAATTGACGGGCTCAAGACCACAGCAACACTCGCCACCAGAAGCTCTAAGCCAAAACCCTACAAACCCTCAACATCCCTAAACAAACTCTTAGGCCTGTGTACTGAACCTTCAGCCAGCCTTCTTCTGACCCCGAATCGTCGGAGTCCATCGCCGGTGGCGGTGGCGGGTCTGCCGGCACCAAGGAATGGAGGCTCGCAGAGCTGTATCAAGGCTGTTTCGACGTCTATCCGGGTTTGGTATGACTCTACGTGGGTCTTGTAACGGCTTCTATGTGAATTCTCAATGTCTTGTAGGGGTGTAGTACGGGCGTGTGACCGGTCTTTAGTTACTTTAGTTGCCTTGGTAGAGTAGGATTGTGGCTTGAAGGCTCCGGCCGGGGTGCCGGCTGCGGTTCAGGCAATAGACGTTATTCGAGGCACTCGCCCGGTTGCCATCACCTGAAGATCAATATGCTCATCATGAAAAATACAGACAAAATCAGAACTGGGGTTCTACAGGGCTTATCCAGAAGAAAGAACGCACCCTAAACTCCACATCCTCAGACCAGAAACCCCAAACTCCCATGCCACCCAAGTGGCCTAAACTGCCTAAACCCAAGTCCAACAAACCTTATAACCCTTAAGCCATAAACGCTTGACTCCTACAACTTCAAACGCCTGAGGTCGAAAGGTCCTAATTACATCACAACACCATAGAACCTAAACTCCGGACTCTTGATTCAGTTCTAAGCAGCCCTGTGATCGCAAGGCCTCTACTGTTCCAGGCAATCGCCGTGCGCTCGAACTCCTTATGCAGCGAAATCTGGACCGTGCAGGTCTACGGTTTGTGGTTGAGACGACTTCGGGCTTAGGGTCTGGATTTAAGGCTTCGAGGCACGCACCGCCAACTGTAATCTTGATTTAGCTTGGGTTTGAAGTCAAGCCGAACATTGAGACTCGGAATAAACGGATCTGAGTCAGTCTTGGGGTCTTAGTGCCTGAGGACGCTTCTTTTTCAGCATCCCACCACCACCCTGCTGCGCTTTTGTGTTCTTCCGGGCCACCAAACCGAGCTTCCTTCGTTCGGACACACCAAGATTTGGTGCACGAGAAGTGGCACTTTGGGTGTCCGAAGATTCGGACAAGGACCAGGATTTAGGCAAGTAGGTGGTGAAACAATCTTTTTGCCTCATGAATTTCGGACCCAACACTCTTGAACACCACAAACGCACATGCAATTGGAGGATCAGCATTAGCAAAACTTCAGAATGAAAAGGCCCGAAGCCCTCGTCACTGAAGGCAAGTCTTGAAGAAACCAGTGTCCTGCTGCAGGTTTCCGAGCTCATGAAAGGCGCTGTCAAAGTCGATGTCAGGCACAGGTGACGCCTCTCATCGACATCAGCAAAAGCTGCGAATCTTGTGCTGCTTCAATCTTGCGAGTATTCCCCAAAAGCTACTTCATTCTAAAGCCAAACAGCCCCCAAAACCTATGAATCTAAAGCCTCAAAGGCCCTGAACAAGCATCCCTAGCTCAAAATCCCCCAAAAGTCGCCCCGCAGTAGTCCCCTCCAGCTGCGCCCTTCATCGTTTACAAGGAACCCTGATAGGAACACTCCAACGAACCCTCAAAAAAAGGTAACTGAGCCTCGCCCCCCTCTGCTGGCGTTGACGACCTCTTACGGTAGGGTATCGGGTCTAGCCTTCAGGGCTTACGGTTTGCCATTTCAAGTTTGTAGCGTCAGTCTCATTCATCTGAAGCTCCGATAAGGCTTCATGGGGTTTGAGGTCGGTCGTAGCATAATCACAGGGTTTCGGGGCTCCTTACACTATGAGCAACTGCGGGCATGTGTTGTTCAAACCTCCCCATCCAAGATTCGGCCCTTGAGCGTCGCGCTGTAGGGCATTGTATAGTAAACCATGATGCGAGAACGTGCTTTCGTTGCGTCGACGTTGCCGACCCCAACCCGACATCCTGAAACTTCAAGCCCTGAACCAATGACAAGCCTGAAAAGCTAGAACTACTAGAGCAGCAATACTAATATAGTATCTGCGAAACCGTATTGTAATCACTCCCTGAACTCGTAGGCCCCTCATGTCAAAACAAGAACGACACTCCGAAGTCTACTCTATTCCATTCAATTCGAAATCTGTGCAGTGAATTTGGTGTGAATGTGCTTAATTATGTGTGTATATATATATATATATGTACATGTGTACGTCATTTTTTTGCTATATATACATATCATATATTCGAAAGTATATACTATATACCCACATGTACTAAACAAGTATATAATCCTGCTGCGAAAAGATCGGCTGGCTCGGGACCGGACGCTTTCTGAGCCTTAGGACGACGATGTGAGGAAGCGATGGTTTTTTTAAAAGGGTTTAGGGTTTAGGGCTCGAGGCTTGACAGCCTGGCCTGGGGTGTTTGGGGCTCAACCCTACACCCCAAACCCTAAATCAAACTCTAAGCCGGTGTACAAAGGAAAGGTCACAGGTGTGGCTCGGGCAATGGCGCGTTCTGCGAGGGTTTTCATGAGGGTTTATGGTGGGGGTCTGTTCAAAGAATTAGAGCTATAGGGGGCCTCCGGGGTCTGCGTAAACAAACATGTACGGCTTTTCTGGTGGCTTCGCTGTTCAGGGATTCAGCGTTGGAAAATGGTTGAAATACGGTTTGCGGGTGTGCGACTTACAGCTACGATAAGTTTCTTCAGTAAGGACTCCACCGGAAGAATATTACTATGCCTCTTGGCCAGATGTCATGCTGCAAGCACACGAGAACTTTCTGCACAGAAGCGCTCTGCAAACCGGAGTAGCCTCGATACCCTCAACCATCCCCAGCAACAAGCATACACATCAATGCCTACAGCCCAAGGCCCCAACAAATCGAAAGCAAACCCAGACCAGCCCAGTGTATCACAATAAGGCCCACGAAGCAGCATTAAATCAGGAAGCATAATCTACACGAAACCATTGCTATAACACCCAAGGCCCACACCTTAAAGTCTCCAAACCGAAGCTACAAGGCCGACATATGTGCCTCTGCAAGCCGTGGCACCCTGAAGCAAACTCCCCTAAACCCTCAACCCCCCCCCCCCAAACCCCCTAGACCCTAAGCCCTAAGCCCCAAAACGCCAACCCCCCAAACCCCCTAAGCCCCCCACAACCCCCTAGACCCTAAGCCCTAAACCTTGAGGTCCTAATCCTAATACATCTATATTATGATGAACTCTTGAGGGTTCCATATTTATAGCTATAGTATAAATGGCTGGACCTTTTTTGGGTCCCTATTATAGTACGGCACCTATTATTTGCGGTACCCCCAAAAGGGACCCCAATTTTGATAACCGCCCAAATATACCCAACCTACACCCCTCGAGGCCTTCATCCGAACCAGCTCTTCCTCGGCAGCTTTGGCCGCTGCTGCCGCCTGAAAAGCCACCGCTTTTGGGGGCCTTGGGGCATCGGGTTTCAATGTTTGGGACTTAGGGTTTTTAGGGTTTAAGCGATTTAAGGTTATCTGGGTTTAGGGTCTTGGTTTCAATTTCTGTGGTTATGGGCGTTGGGGTTTAGGGCTTAGGGTTTTGTTTCTTTGGGTTTAGGCTTATGAGTGTTTAGGGCTATAAGTTGTATGATTTTGGGGTTGAATGGTCGCAAGCTTGGGTCTCATTTTCGAAACAATTCTCAAAGATTTTAGGATTAGAGCTTCGGGCTGTAGCAAAGGAGTACCCAGGACAATTGGACCATGGCCTTGTCCGCAGCTGCAATCGCCGCCAGAACGTCCGGTGCCTGCTCAACCAAAACAGGCTGAGGGTGTGCGGAATACTAAGCCCTGAACAACACCTTAACCCGTCAATCTTAAGCCCTTAACCCTTCAACCCTAACCCTTTAACCTTAAACCCTTGACCCCAAACCCTTTAACCTAAAAAACCCTTAACCCTTTAACCGAAAAGATGCTATCATAAACGGCCCAATATAGAATCCTTAAGGACAAGCAGCACTACTCCTCCATGCTCCTTTGTACAAGTATACCATACTACGCTGAACGCATCTCAACTCAACCCTCAGCCCGAAACCCCGAAACTTACAGCCTTGGAACTTGGAACCCTGAACTCCCGAATTGCCAGTCGAAAACTCTAAAGATCCGACATGCGGAGCGGGAAATTGCTATATCGGCGGAAGCATCATCATAATACTATATACTATATACGGCTGAGGGTGCTAAAGAGCCACTACAATGATAAATGCAACAACCACAATTTACTGGTACTACAATGTTGCTGCTTTCGTTGCATAAGGACCCATATATGGCCTGCTCGGCGGCTGCCCGCATTGCAGTCATTGCTTCCTGCTGGGCCTTCTCCCGTCGTTCGGCCTCCTGGTTGTATTGCTGGGTTTAGGGCTTAGGGTCTATACTTGGAGGTTCATAGGTAGTTATAAGTAGGGTTATGTATAACTAGGGTAACTATACTTATAACCCTAATCCGTGGACTTATAGCCCCACTTATAACTACCCCTGAGCCTCCAAGTAGGGCTTAGGGTTCAGGTGTTTGGGGTTCGGGGGTTAGGGTTTATAGGGTTTAGGGGTCAGTGGGTACATGTTTCGGATCTGGGGCGCGCATGTCTAGGGTTTACATCCCAAAGGCTCCATGTACCCATATAGTAGGTATTAAAGCCTTAAAGAGGTCTCTATATATAGGTACTTTGAAGCCTAAGTACCTACTATATGGGCACATGGAGCCTTTGGGCATGTTCCGAGACTGCACTACCAGCGCGCAGATGCATTTGTCGGACCCGATTCCGTTTCTGGACGTTGATGTCGTGTTCCGGCCGAGATTTTGTTTCCACATGGATTGTGTTTCCGGGACGTGGAATGACTGTGTTTTCTGGATTCTACTTCCGGGTGGAAAATTGAATCAAACTAGGTTCCAAACAGTGGAAATCAGAGCTTAGCAGAAGCGTCAGCTGGGGAATCCAAGTAACAAAGGTTTAATAAAGGGTTTCGGGGTTCCTTAAAAAATAAGCCTTTTTAAACACCTATAAAAACTATGTTTAAAAACAAACACACGCCGCCTCCTCAATCGCAAGCTGCATCCCCGGAGATGAAGCGTTCCCGGAATATCGAGATAAAGCTGCTTCAGTTTGGGATGCACCCAGTGCGCCCTTGTCCACATACTCTGAAGCCGGAATCCAATAAAGATTTCCGGAACACCTAAATTTAATTCCTGGGCCAGAAAATCATGAAGCACCGCATCGCAACCCCTAAAAACGCAAAACTCTAGACCCTCCAGCAGAAGCGCGCTCCTCTTCCGGAGAAAGTGGTGTGGCCTAGCAAGTACAAGCAAAAACAAGTGGGTCCGGCACTTCACAAGAGGCTTACTCTGGGATCCAGAATCAATAATTATGGCGTGCCTCCAGCAGCGGCTATGTAGGTTTAGGGTTGAGGGTCTAGGATACTTGAGAGCTGGTCACGAAAGCTAGAAGCACGAGGTCCGGTGCTGAGCTCTGCAAAGCGATGTGCACGACAGTAGCGGAGGGAAAGTTTGGGCCGGTGAAGGGTGCAGGCGTTGCTCGTTCATTTAACTCTTGAGAAAGTAATGTGCGAACGACAACTAGAGGTAACTCTGGAGAGAAGACCGCACTTCAGTCGCCGAACGTCAGACACAAAGAAAACCAAGGGACCTTGAGGAGGGGGGGGGAGGGGGGGACCTCATGATAGGGGGGGTGAAACCATAAACCTCTAAAGGGGTAGCTCTAACAGGTACCTACAGCAATGGCTGCATGCTCATACATATACATTCCGCTGCCCATTGGCTCACAGTGGTTTTACCATATTGAGACAAGACAAGCTCTCCTTGCGTAGCAAGACAAAACAAATACTGTCCGTGTGCAGGGCGCTGCCCTTTGATCCTTAGGGAATAACTGGTCATACACCTCCTAACAAGGAGTATTCCTTGTGGGTGTATCGGCACAGTTTTCTGGTAGCGGAGCCCGGAAAGGGCCGCCCGCCTCACAAAGTCCGCTACAGCGGTCGGCCTCGCCGAACGCTTAACCAAGCGGATACGAGGCAGCACAATGTCGAGCTCGCATAGCGAAGCCGACGGCAGTTCCCAATCCTCCGGGGGATATGAGAACGAAGAGACCTCCCAAGGTCCAGCTACTTATGTCGCACAGTCATATGCAACATCTGACCGCATGCTTGCATCATTAGGCATAACGCCTAAGATCGCGCCTGACTATGATGGCACCACTTCGTGGTTTGAGTATGAACAGTTGATTGACGACTGGTGCGACATAACAACGCTGGATGACACCAAAAGAGGTCCGTCTCTCAAGACGAGGCTCTCCGGATTGGCCGCAGTACAAAAAGAATAACTTAACCGAGAAAGGCTTGCAGCCCCAGATGGAGTAGATTACTTCAAGAAGAAGATGCGTCCATTTTTCGTGAAAGGAGAACAGTACGTTTTCCTGTGGCGTTTCCTCGGCCTATTCAAGGCATGGAAGGGCAACCAAGACTTTTTGACTTGGATTGCTAAGTTTGAGATCGTGCTACAGCGCGTGAAAAACTCATGGATGGATCTCTTACCAGAGATAGCTCTGGAAGATGCCCATCCAGATTTCATGCAAGCTGTGCAGGCAGACCGAACCTTCCTGGGCCTACAGGAAGCAGCCGAGAGAGACACATACGCCGCACGCTATTTCGAAACATGGAACAAGGAACGCCTTGACAATCATCGAAGAGCGTTTCCTCTAAATGATAATCTCCTAGCTCTTCTCTTCCTAGTGCAGTCCGACCTAAATGAGATGCAACGTGAGAGGTTGGTAACAGCATTGACCAACCAATGTCACCGAATTGAGACCTATACGTACCCTGTGGTACGGCAGACCATGTTCGATCAGTTCTCAACGACCAGAACTGGTCTGCAGGATCCCAACATTCGGCACTCTTCTCACAAGCAGGACCGCCATGGAAGGAGAGACCAACGCCGCAAACGCGGAGGTCGAAACTTCCTCATCCTCGATCAGGGTGAATACGATGGAGTCGATGGATTCTGGCTCCAAGACGAAGACACCCTTGAGGAAGGCTTTCTTGCCGCCGAGGATGAAGCAGCTGTCTTCTGGACAGTTGATGACCATGAGGCCTTCGTTGCAAGGAGATTCAAAAAGGGAAGAAGACCAAGAATGCGTCCCGGATCACCGGGAAGAGCAAAGGGTGGCAAGCGAAAAGGACGTGGCCGTTTTAGGTCATACCGCGGAAAAGGGAGAGCCAACCAGGCAGAACCTGATCCAACTGATTCCAGCTATTTCGGTAAAGGTAAAGGAAAGGAAAAAGGAAAAGGTGGAAAAGGCAAAGGAAAAGG